TGTAATTTTGACATTTTGGCTGATTGGGATCTTCGAATTGTTATTTTTTAGTAGGTCAAACGGACCAATACTTTATTCATTTTGCCTTCATGTCTTACGTGGATACATTAGGGTTATGACTTCTTTACAAACTCATACATATATCGATTTAATGTTTTGATTAGGAATTTTAGGAGTCCCTCACAACACTTGTGGCACCTGTGGTAGCGCCCTTGATTCTCCATTGTTATGGTCCCAAGGACAATCAGTACAGAGTCCTAGCTACTTTTGGAAAACCGTGTATCGCTTGAACGTATGAATGGAATTGGCAGCAACTACCTTGCCGCTGGAATTATTGACGTGGCCTCAATTCGCAGTTTGTAGTCGTTATACCCAAAAGGTGCCTAATGTACAATAAATACTCATAAATAAAAATTGAAATTTGAATGGAAAGGAGTAGGTAATACCGTACATATCTGCTGTACTTATGCATGGTTTTATTTATGGTAAATTATTAAATTATTAACGCCAAAAATAGGTAACTATCGAAATTCGAATGGAAAGGATTAACTACCATAACAGAGCCCATACATTTATTGAAGTTTAGTGGTCCCCTACGGTAATCATAAATATTACCCAGCCGTTTGTATCTTACGATATTCATAAAGATGATCGTTCCATACAAAAAATACTTTAGATTCAAAATAAGGCACATGAACTAAATTGTGAATAAAAACAACATGTGTTACAAGGCTGAAGCCAATGGTCAATGACAATATTGGACCATACCAATGCGGCTTCAGACCTGGCAAATCCACCCTTGACCAGATTTTCAATCTGCGCCAAATCCTGGAAAAAAACCCACGAAAAACACATCGACACATTCCACCTATTCCTCGACTATAAAGACGCATTCGACAGCCATATCCGTTCAGAGGTGTATAAAGCCATGTCTGCGTTTGGCATCCCCCCAAAATTAATTCGGCTATGTATGATAACTTTAACAGGCACAAGATCAGCAGTTAAATTCGGAAAGGACCTCTCGGAGCCCTTTAATACCGAACAAGGATTTACACAAGGTGATAGTTTGTCGTTTGACTTTTTAACATCCTGCTGGAAAAGGTCATACGAGAGGCAAAGGTGAACAGAAATGGCACTCTGGCACAAATGTTACTCGCCTACGCCGATGACGTCGATATAATGGGTCGAACATTGCGAGCGGTAAATGCCACCTTTGAACAAATTGAGAGGGGGTCTGCCAAAGTGGGTTGACAGTAAACGGCGAGAAGACCAAGCTGATGGCATCAACGCACAAGACGTCCAGTAGACTCGGACCAACTGTGGAACTTGAGAACACTACAGCTTCGAGGCAGTTAATGATTTTATATACCTTGGTACCGCCATAAATGAAACGAATTATGTCAGTTTTGAAATTCGGAGAAGGATTGTGATGGCCAACAGATGCTACTATGGTCTAAATAAGCAGTTTAGAAACAACTACCCGTGCTGTTGTATGGATCAGAAGCATGGGTACTTACACAAGCAGATGAGGAAACTCTTGGAGTGTTTGAGAGAAAAATTCTCCGAAAGATCTATGGGCCGATTATCGCCGTCGAAAGAATCATGAGTTGTACCATCTATTTTCGGACATCGGAATTGCCAGATGTATCGAGCTGCGAGACAACTGCGCGAAAGACCGACGAGCGAAGTGGTTATAAAAAATTCTCCAAGTCGGTCGAAATACTTATGTCGTGACTATTTCAAAATAAGGACATATATTGTAAATTTTCTGAGAACAAATTTTACTCAAAAATTAAGTTTTGGACAAAATCGAAAATAAAACGGGATCTTGTCAAAGCATGGGCATACATTTAATATTTTTACAAATTTGTTAGTAGCTTCAGTTGAAAAATGTATCTAGAACCTTCAAAATACCGAAAACGAGCTATACCAAAACGTGGACCCATATATTCCATTTTTAATACCGAGCTCACCAAAAGTAGAATTATTTTTTTTTAATTTCAAAGTACTATCTTAAATATTGCAATTACTATCGTGATTTCAACATATAGACAGCTAAATAGACATATAAATTCATTCTGATGGGGTCTTCATCGAATTTTTCGAGGTGTTACAAGCGGTATAATAAATTTAATACACATTTCCCACATCATATGTTAGATTCAAATAACTCAGTCAAAAGAAATCCAACTAAACGTTTCCGAAGCAAATGGTCTCCGGATACATTTGGAAAACTGGTCATGTGGAGTTTGTACCGAATGATCGGAATTTTTTTTTTGCCTAAAGAGTTCGGAGAAATGAAAAGGCACAATAGAAGACGAATCATTCATTTTCCACCATGACCGTTTTGTAATCTCTATGATCTCTATACAGCCAAATTAGTCTTTGTGAAGTCATCTGGTTTATATAGAGCCAATTTGATCAATGTAAAGACCTCTGGTCTCTATTAAGACCAATTTGTCTTTCTAAAGACCTCTGGAATCTATACAGCCAAATTGGTAATTGTAAAGACCGTTGGTCTCGGTCTTTCTAAAGACATCTGGTCTCTATACAGACTAATTGGTCATTCTAAAGACCTGTGGTCTCTTTACAGCAAAATTGACATTTGTGAAGACCTCTGGTCTTTATACAGCCAAATTGGTATTTGTAAATACATCTTGTCTTTATAGAGCCAAATTGTTCTTCGCAAAGACCACTGATCTCTATACAGGAAAATTGGCCTTTGTAAAGACATCTAGGCTCTGTACAGCCAAATTGGTCTTTGTAAAGACCGTTGGCCTCTATACAGCTCAATTGGTCAATTGGCAAAGACGTCTGGTCTTCATACAGCCCATTTAGTCTTTGTAAAGATCTCTGGTCTCTATACAGACCAATTTTCCTTTGTAAAGGCCTCTGGTCTTTATACAACAAACATCTGGTCTCTATACAGCCAACTTGGTATTTGTCAAGACATCTAATCTCTATACAGATCAATTGGCCTCTGGTCTCTATTCAGCCCAATTGGTATTTGTAAAGCACGGTAGTTTCTATAGGACCCAATTGGACCTTATAAATTCTTTTGATTGATTTCAATTAATCGAACCCTTATCCCTCTACTTATAGTTACCTCGTGTATAATTATCTGTGTATTCAGGTTTGGACAGCACGAGACTACGATTTTGAAAAACGATTTGCAAATTTGGGTTATAGTAATATCGATGAGATCGTAAGTAGAGAGCACCGAAGTTAATTTATATTCATTAATGATCAAATGGTCGCTCCCTTCGACTATACTGCTCATCTCATTGTTTTTTTTACATTTTTTTTGAAAACAGTGACCGAGGAGCCCCATTGTGGGGAGGAGCCTCATATATATATATATATATATATATCTGTTAAGTTTGAACGTCTGCGTGGATGTGCCAAAGAAGTTACGCTATGGACCTCAAATTCGGAGGTACCACAAGGAATGGAACGACTAGTCCAATCTTAGAGCTTCATCTAGTTTTGGTAAAAATATTCGATGGATGTCGGATTTAAAAATTTACACCCTTTGACACATTTTACGGGAGGTATGTGGGTTTCGTTTTCGAATTTGATCTAGGTTACAATGGTAAAAATATTGCAAGGTGCAAAGTTTAGATAAACATTGATATTCTCTTCGCTTTATATGACGTTTACAAATGTGCAGAACCAATAAGCCCCTTAATACATTATACCTGCTTTGTTAAAAAAAATGGTTCAAAGTGGGACATAAAGGGAGAAACTTCATTTCATTCTCGATATAATTACGATTTTATACGATTTAATTAATGACCGTATTTTCGATTTTCGAACTAAATCCAAACATATACATTGCATCGCATTACAATCATAATAACTTATTTTTCATATACTTCCGATTATATTAAGGGGATCTGTGGAAACCCCAAAAGAACCCACCTTACAACAACGGGTTTTTTATTTAATTTTTGATTCATTAGCATTTTTTCACAAAAGAAAGAAAATGGCAACACTGGGTTTAGTTGAACTGAAGTTGTGGTTTAACCCAACCGAATGTCTGCGTATGAGTAACACACACGTCAACACATGAATGGGTTAACATGCACACACACACACTCGTATAACGCATACAGGTGCGCAAACACTTAACTTGAAATTCTTCGTACACAAAAGAATAGCTTAGGGTCGCCGCCGCTAAGCTTTCGTTGTGGTTTCTGTCTGTCCGCGACTTTTTGGTGAACTTGTGTGTTGCTGTCGTGTATTGTTGCTGTCGCGATCGTTGCCGTCGTCGTCGTTGTATCTGTGGCATGACAGTGGCATTATAATCGATCTTGTGGCTTTTCTCGGCCGATAGAAATGATTTTTAACATCTTCAGCTGTGGTCATTTGTAAACGAAACGTCTAAGTGTAACGGTCGTTAGATAAGCCCTAAGCGGATGTCAGACTAGAAATTTGAAATTAAAACACCGAGGGAAAACCAAAACGTTTTGGTTTTTATTATTTATATAACCATCATATCTTAACAAAATCGTGTATGTACGCACATAAAAAATAAAAAAAAAAATATTTTCAAAAAAGAAACAACAAATAAACCCGAAAAGAAGAAAAGTTACAATAATCTCCAGTGAAGAGATCAAGTGAAGAAAGAAAAGAAGAAGAAGAAAAAAAAAGAAATCCAATTTTATTTTATTTTATTTGTAATTACTCGAAACAAAATTTTTTAAACGATTTACCCGTTCAAACAAATGGGACAACCAATAAATCAACCAATTGCATTTTGTAACTTTATATTTTGGTACAGTACAAAGACTTGAAATTTCGTACCAAAAACAAATTAAATTAAAAAAACCAAAAATAAAAAAATTCAAATCAAATCAAACCAAATATTATTTTTATGAATCTTCGTTTTCCAATTTTTAAAAATAAGTGTTAATTTTTCAAAACAGCCCATCCGCACAAAACACCACAACACTAACATCCATCCATCTCTAAACACAACAACAACACAACATCAACAACTATACCATGGGTCATTTAGCAATGTCCGATCGTAGCAGTACCACCAGCGTTGAGACTTCAATGTCTGCTGCGAAACAACAACAACAAACAGAATTGAAACATCGTCTTACGGCCAATGGCAAAAGTTCAGCTGCCGCCAATGGATTCCCCGCCAAGAATGGTCAACCTTTAGTTTCGGCCGTCGATGGTGAGGTGAAAAATATCGAACAGAAACACCATGTCGATTTGGAAGAGTACACTAAAAACTTCAAAGGCGATCGTGTTTTTGGCATCCAATTTAAGGCACCGCTCAAGTGGGGTAACATCATTATGATCTCCCTGCTGCATTTGTTCTTCGTCTATGCCTATGTCACATTCCCATTGGATAAGCTGAGAGTTCCATCGGTTCTATTTGGTAAGTAAAAGTGTTTTTCTTATTTAATTGTAAGTTATGGGAATTTTAGATAAAAAATAGACACATCGTGAGGTACTGTAGAGATTTTTGGGACTATGGAATTATTAGAATTCTAAGATCCCTTTTTGGATAAAATTGGTAAAAATAAAAATGAAATGATTTTTTTTTATGACAAACTATTTAAACACCCTTTAACATGAGAAACCTTCAAAATGAAATTATTTTTGCAACCACCCATTCTCTGTGTCTCAAATGACCCAAATACCTCAAATCGGCAAAAAATAGTTATACTCATAACTTTTACGGTTCGAATTTTTGCCTTCATCGCATTTAAATAAATTAAATATTAAGAAAAGTTCAGGTTGGAAAAATATGTTGTAGAATTTTACCCAAGACAAAAATGTGCGTAATAAAAATTTACTAATGGAAACGTTTACAACTTCAGTGAAAGCTTCTTTGAGGTTTTTTGATTCAGCTAAAAACTTTTTGCTAAAAAAAACATCTCACATATCATCCTAGAAAAAAATCAACGTCCCTAGACCCATTTTTTTTTAATATTTCTCATACAGTCCCAGAAAATAGTATATATAGTCCCAGAAAAAAATATTCGTTAAAAAATCCAAGCTTCATATAGTCCAAGAATAAAATTTTTTTAAAACCAATGAGCGGAGCAGTATAGTTGGACGGGGCCGATCATATTATACCCTACACAATTTCCACGAAAATCTAACTTTCTGGGTTCTATATTCTAAGCATGACAATAATTCGAAATATTTGCACCCTCTTGACCGAATAGAGGTCAAGAAATATTACTAATATTCAGTACAGCCCTTCTATTTATTTGTTCAGATTCCCTTCGCCGTGGATTGTGTTGTGATGTTCAGCTTTCTATTGTGGCATATAGATCGACATGAAAAAAACACAACAAATTCATCCCAATATTAGTATCTGATAATCACCGAAAATTATAGGCGATGTCCTATACCATACCGGAATCCTCATGGAAAATTCCAATGGGATCAGTGTTATATTTCCGCCCTCTAGTGTGGTTATGGGTGACTAAATATTTACAGGTGCTAAATAAGCACTTGTAAATATTTAAGTGTATCTCCCACATCCTAGTGCATACGACAATATAATTGGTATTAAAGGTCAACCACTCCTCTATCAACTTCTCGGATCTATGTCCTTCAGGGTAAAATCTATACGCCATAGAATACAAATTTTGTAATTTTGTAAATATTGACCGATCTTTATCAGACATGCTTCTTCTTTGGCCCTATCCCCTTCTCCATGTAAAAATTCGCGATGTAGGGCCATAATTGTGGCCTCTGGAGCGACCAGAAAATCAGACAAAAATAAAGTTTTTGGTCCATTTCATCCCCTAAATATTAATACATTTTCATTTGCCAGAATCCATCTTATATGCAAAATTTCGTGAAGATTGATCCATAAATGTGGTCTGTATCGCGTTTACAAATTATAACGGACAGACGGACGGACACACATGTCTACATCGACTCCGCTAGTCGAGATATGATGATCGGTATACTTAAAGGTGGGTCTAGGATCAATATTTCGCTGCGATACAAATTCTTGGGGCTGCACAAAGCTTGAATACCCTGACAACATACTTGTGCAGGGTGTAAAAAGGAAAGGTTTTTTTAAGGTATTCACTTCCCCAAAAAGAAAATCTAACTTTTTTAAATCCCTCACAATATTTGAAATAGGATGATAATGATATGTGGTATCATCCCAATTTCGTTTTCCTCTTTCGTATGACCTTATGGTGGAGAACATAAAGAAATCGGCCCGGACAAACTTAACTGGGTTTTATATGGCATAGATACGACAAAAATGTGATTCCAAGATCCCTTTGGACCAAATAACTTTTTGACAATTTGTAGATCGTCATATTTCTTCGAACTCGAATGATCAAATAATAATCATTTTTTTAATACCTCCTCTAACAAGGGTCAACAATTTTAAATTTTATAAATCTGATGATGGGCCTCGAAAATATATTATCCGCCATAATAGTAAACAAATAAATAAATAAAATAATAATAATAAATATTCTTTAAAAAATCCATATAATGCCACGAAAAATATTATAAGCCTGTGATGTTCTAAGCCTGTGATGCTCTATGTCTAGCCTCGACAAAATTATTTAAAAGATCCACGTCCATAATAACCTTGAAAATTTTCTTTAAAAAATCAACGCCTATGACAGGCCTCGAACAAATATTCTTTAAAAAATCCAGGCCTATGATAGCTCTCGATAAACTATTCCCTAAAAAATTCAGGACTATGATAGGTCTCGAAATATATTCTTAAAAAATCCACGCCTATTATTTTCATGTATATCTTATTTAATAAAGACTATTATTAAATAAGATATAAATGAAAATATTTCATAATGATCTAAAAATATTTGTGATTTACATTCTTTCAAAAAATGTATGTGCTACATACATTACATAAAATTATACTTCAATGAAATAACACTAGTGAGGTCAGGGACTTACCTGAAAAACTCATTATTTGGCCAGGAATTTCATTTTTTAAATCCCTGAAATGAAATAAAAATATAGTAAATTATAGTCAATACAATACATTTATTTTCAATACAATAACTTTGAGTCCCATAAACCCCAGATATATGTTACACCACAGCTGTGTATGCTCAATTATATATAATAGTTTTAAATACAAATTGTGAAATCTGAATTCTGAAATCTATTTCTCTGTTGTGAAATTCTAATAACGCTACTTCAAAAGTTTAGCGGCCTTTGTTATGAATTCCCAATACATATTTGCTTTTTGTTTTTTGATGCCGAAATGTTATTCTCACATTTTTTGTATTTTTATTTTTTTCCATCCGAATCTTGTGAATTTACATAGGATAACAATAAAAAAAGAACCACGCGCCTTTTGATAAATATTAATATTAAACTATTTTTTATGATTTTCCCAGAAGAGGCGATCATGAAATACTTGACTGACAATACTCACCAAATATGGTGAGGCATTGAACTTGGAAGTCGATATATGTATATTTAAAAATTTATGTGAGAAACGTTTCTACATTTGTAGTAACATGTTTAATATTTATTCTGATACTATAAAACAAAGCATTTTATATTGTTTTATTATTTTTTCTTTTAATTTGCTTCATAAAATTTTTGTTAATGATTTTTTTCTTCAGAAAATTAGTAGTACATTCTCAAGCACATATTGGAAATGCCTTGCCAATATTAGGAATGACAATGTATTCTAATTTTATATGTTTTGAAATTTAATTGATTTCTTCTGTTTTGTTTAGTTTTTTTTTTAGTTTATTCTGAAAAGAGAATAACGACTACAACCAAATGCTAAATAAACGTTATATTTCATATTATGATCATTAACATCATTTCTCTCGACCTAATACGAATATTCATTTCGGTTTTCTCAAAGAAAACAAAAATCCATTCAAAATCATAATACTGTGAATTTATTTTCGTTTTTTCTTCTTCATTATAAAAAATAGAAAAGAATATCAAATCTTCCATCAAGAAGGTGAAAACGAAATTTCACAAAAAATTATTATTAACATAAAGAAACATTGACTTGTGTTAAAATTTGAAGTGGTTTTGATTTTTAAACTGGATTGGAAAATACTATATGATGAAATTCGAAAAAGAAAGGAAATTATGCAAAATTTTTCAAATTTCCTAATGATATAAAATTAATAATTGTAGAAAAATGTTCCTGAAAAAATCCACGCTTATAATAGGCCTCCAAAACATGTTTTTTTTTAAATCTAAGCCTAAATTAGGCATTAAAAATATTCTTTAAAATATATATCTAAACCAGTGAGCGGAGCATTATAGTGGGACGGGGCCGACCATATGATACCCTACACAACTTCTGAGCTTGGGCAATATTTCGCTATATTTGCACCCTCCTGACCGTATAGAGGTCCATAAACATTACTAATATTCAGTACAGTCCTTCTAATTACTTGTGCCGATTCCTTTCAACGTGGGTTGTGTTATGATGTTCGGCATACAATTGTGGCCTATGGACTCAAAAAAATACACAAAAAATTAAGTTTTCGGTTTACTTCATCCCAATATTATTATCTGACCATCACAAAAATTTATAGGCGTTGTCCTTGACCATAACTGTACTATATTTCCAACTTCTAGTGCGGAAATGGGTAACTAAATAATATATGAATACACATGTAAACTTTTAAGTGTAACACCCACATTAGATTACATATGACAATATAATTGGTATCAATGTAAAGGTCAACCACTCTTCTTGCATATACTGTCAACTTATCTGGTCTATGATGTTCAGGAGTAAAATTGCGGCCTCTGGAGCGACCAGAAAATCAGACAAAAATTAAGTTTTTGGTCCATTTCACCCACTAAATATTAACCGATCTTTACCAAAAACAATAGGGGTCTTCATTGGCCAGAACCCATCGTACGTACGGCGTTACCAACTCTTGTGGCTACACAAAGCTATAATACCCTGACAACATAGCAACAACATAACAATGGTTCTGGTAGTCTTAAACAATATTGTCTTCAAAATCCAGGCCTTTGATAGTCCTTTAATTTTTTTATTTAAGGGGACCCCCCATTCTCGGGGTCAACATTTTTGTTTGGTTTAATTCGAATCTACACTAATTCAAGAATGTCCCTACAAAATTTCAAGTGAAAATCTCAAGAACTCTTGAAAATATAGCTGATTTATTGTGTCAGCATCAAGTGACGGCTAAAGGGCTTCTCAAACTTTAAACGCGTTTTTCTCTTTTGCGAATGGCGGACACGATAACTCAAAAACTAATAATCCAATTGGTTCCAAATTTTGCAACGTTTCTCTGGGAGTGTATAGCTCTCGTATGAACTAGGATAAAGCCAATCGGTGAAGATCTTCCTTATTTTTTAACTTGGTTTTTGGTAAAAAATCGGCGATTTTCCAAAAATATTTTTTCAAAGGTCCACCATTT